CCTTCATTCTGCAGTTGAGAAAATTACAAGGGCTCCACGTTCGGAATTAACTCTGTAGTCCTAGTCCTGTTTAAATTCATTACCCTGAGGGAGCTGGCTTGAAGTTTAAGGCAGATTTCAAATAAGCCAAGCAGCATAGGAATGAGACACTCACGGAATGCGCTCTCCTGATATTTGACAAAAACAACACAACACAACCCTAGATGCATAAAGACATTCACCTGGCTAAAAATCCCGCTTTGGGCTGAGGACCTTCCCCAGGACCGCTCGGCTGGCGCCCCGACGACCACAAACCTCCCGGCAGAGGACGCCACCGCCTGCCACCGCCTGCCACCGCCTCCCGCCGCCTCCCGCCCTTTTCATTCTCGGGTACCGGCCTCGGGGGCCACCCGGCAGCGAAGTCGGTAACGGGCCCACCTTGGGCCCCTGCCCTCCGCGAAGCCCTCCAAGACCCAACCAACCGCAGCCCCACCTCTCGGGACCGCAAGGAGCGCGGGCCCGGCTCACCAAGTACCTGTGGGGAAGGCGCTTCCCGCCGCGGAGCTGGCTGAAGCGGAGCAGCCAGCAGTCCAGCAGGAAGCACCCACTTCCCGACCACCTCTTCGGCCGCCGCGGGAGCCGCAGAGCTGTGCCAACGACCCGGAAGTGCTCGCCGAACCTGGAAGTGACAACAGGAGAGTGGGCCGGGAGGCCCCGCCCAGCCCCGCTCAGACGCGCCACTCCAGACTTGCCTGGGGAGGGCGGGGTGTGGAGGGAGGAGGGGCGTGGGGCCGGCGGCTTTCAAGCCCCAGACAGGTGAGCTTGCTTCCTTTCCGAGTAATTCACCAGGTTTGCTAAATCATGCATAAGGGAATTCTAACTTTGAGAGATTAATCTTATCCACTGTTAGATACACAATTAGGAATGTTAGGGCAGTCACACTTTATGCCTTAAGTATGTTCTAGGTAATACTGTTGAAGACGCTGCAATACTAAATTGAAGACAAATTGTGAAGATTAGAGCAGGACTTACCACTCAAAACAGGGCTGCAATTCACTTAGCCCAGCAAGCGCTTGTGATTCCTGAAGAATTTTAATGTGGGAGAATTTGTATTTAAAATTTGTACCTAATGGAAGACAAACATTTCAATATATATTGGGTTTTAAAAAATCCAAATGGTATCCTAAATGTGGATTAAAGGCAGCAATATGTGTACAGCTGTTTGCCATTAAGTAGCTGAACTGTGATTAAGGAGTAAATACGTAAGTGTTACCAAATAGACTCACTCTCTGAGCAGGCCTATAAGCAGAACGGAGTCTCATTTATGGCATGTTTTCAGCCTCTTATTGAACTTTTATTGTTGGATTACCCACTACTAAAATGATTCTAAATTATAAAATACAAAGTGTGATAATTAAGGTAACGTTTAAAATTAAAACAGGATGAATACTTCATGCCCTTGAAGAACAGGAAGTAGCACCCAGACTACAGAAACAAAAAGTCTTAAACTATTTGAAAGGCTTATAATTCAGTGTAAACATTTAAAAGACAAACAAAAGACCCCAAAAAAAAAAAAAAAAAAAAAAAAGTGATAAAAATGAGTCAAAAACAAACTTTCCAATTAATTTATTTAAATTCATTAATGTTGCAAAAATATGATGTGCAACAAATCAGGACACAAGTTACCATATTCCTAACAAGTCAAAGGAAAATAAAATATTACATCTCCTTAGTAAATCACGACCAACCCTATTATTTCTTACAGGAATCACATCAACATCTTGCACAGTCATCAGAACTGAATTTCTCACACTGTAAAATGACAGCACCAGGCTAGGCAACATCAACTGAATAGTAGTGAAATGATCACAGCACACTCTGTCTAAATGGCAGCATGTGAACTTATATTAAAAAAGATACCTGAATTTTTGAAATCTGTATCCAAGTGTGTAGACGTCTAATTCACTCTGAATTGTGTTCTATGTGAATAGTGTCCTATGGACTGTGCAAGTCAGTGGCCCTGAACACACCTCCAACATTTGCTAGTATGTAAATAAATGGTTTAAGGGACGTAACTTTAGAAAGCTCGTATATAAAAAGTGCAGTGGAATAGCTAATTGGTATTATTTTCCAAGTTCCTCCTTAGCCACACTGATTGTGAAAGCACAAAGATTCAAAATGTAAATGTTTTAATCTCCTGTAGAAGGTCTTACAAGATAGAATCAGATAGCTATATGAAGCAAACAGCTCAATATTATTCTTTATCGATCTGAAACCTTAATTAAACCCTTGATTTTCATCAGGTGTGTAAGTGCTTTAGGCGAACTTTTCATAGCATTCTTAAAAGTAATTCTCAAAACATAAGAAATTAAATAGATCTATCATATACAGTTGCAACAAAATAACAGCTACGTTCAAATTTTATTGTCACTCCTCATGTTCAACACAATTCTTATTTTCAAGTACCATTTAGAACTTCAAAAGAAACTGATCTGATTCTTATTCATTCAGAATCTTGCGACCAGGGTAAAGGTGAGTGAAAGGATCCCAGGTAATTCTTCTGTACTATTAGAACACTGAGTAGGAAATCTCCCACTTCCCTTACCAGCTGACTTTCTCGGGCGAGTCCAAATTCTTCAGGCTTTCTCCCAGTGACTCCAATCACACAATTCCTGTTCCCTGTGACAAGGATAAACTCTAACAGAATAGTTGATCTAACTAATAAGCATATTAACTCTCCTCTATTCCTTCCTTTTGAGGTTTGTGATCCATTTCTTAAATATCTAAATATTTGAAAAAAAAATAAGCAAGAAAACATGATGGAATGGATTAGCAAATTTCTACTTTCAGCCCATCTTCTCCCTTCTGACTGAGCAATGTTAGCCATTTCCACATATAACACAGGGAAAAGAATGAAGCTACTGTCACCTTATATACACACCTTTACTGATCTCAACAAGAAACTGGCCTGTTCTAACCAATAACACCCTAATGCTAATTTACCTCTCAATTGAAGAAATCTAAAAAAGCCACTTCTGCACTAAATCAAACACTTCCAAATTCCCTGAGCACTCACATAAAAACAGCCAAATAGTAACACTATAATCATCTACAAGAAGTTTCTATCAAAAAGCAGATCCATGACTTTTTTAAATTCTGAAGTTGTAGTTGAAGAAATTCTAGCTACTGATATACAATCAGCAAATTTCAGTATTCAGTGCAGTTACCAAATAGTGCTATTCATTTTGGAAGACTATGTTAATGCTTATGTTTCATAAAATATGAAAAATAATCCAGCCCTAAACTTTAATCTGAGCACTGTAATTGTTGACCCTCTCTGTTCAAATTTGCTTCTGTATGAAGAGACAAAGCAGAGAAAATATAAATTCTCATTAGAGGTATTGTGAGCCTTTGCACTCTTCACTCCAGTCTTATTTCACATATTCTATGTGAAGACTGCAGCTTTTCCTGCTGGACACAAGAAAGCCTGTTAGATGGTGCAAAGAGCTATCATACGCGGTACATCCCGTAACAGTGACACATTCAGTGCCATCTGAGGTAACAGCCACTCTAAACTCTGAAGTTCTTTCTCTTACTTCCTTGTTATCTTCCTTTCAAACTACCCCACTAGGCCCTCCTTAGGATCCTGTCCTCTCCATGCCATCAACTGAGTTAAAGGCTATTAAGCTTCAAGTAGGAGGCCAATGTAGCATTTTTCTTGGTGCTACTTAGGAATATAACCAAGCAGAACAAAAGCAAATTATATGTATGAGAAACTTTGGATTAAAAAGAGACACTCGAGCGCAAGGATAACAAAATATAGTGGCAAAAATAAAATTAAACCAGTTAAGTTAGATCCATGACCCCAGAAGACAGATAATACAATTTTATGTACTTTCATTACAATCAGCAATGGAAAATTAAAATTGAATGCTATGGGAGGAATGTCACATAGTGATAAATTACAATACCTACTTACAGTTATGAAACATTTATTATGGGGCATGTCCCTATACCAGATTCCATTAAGGTGTCGGTAGAGCAGGTGTCTTTTAATCCACTGATTCACAACACATGCCTTTCATTATATCCCAAGTGTTACCACTGTTCCCTCTGAATTTTCATATTCTAACAGATTAAAGGTTACTTGTACTTTAAAAAAATATTTAGGAACATGCACCACTTTTGCAACAAGTTGTATCTATAGTTAGGGACAATGCTTGCAAAAGCAAAAGTGAGTAAATGCAATAAATTGTTGACCCTGAAGAACTGTGTACTTTATGTGGAGGAAAACCACCTATGTAAGAAGTTCAGCAAATTCTGAACAGGATAAATATGTATAGAGAAAGGACTGCTTAAAGAGCTCTATGAATATAGACTCTAATCACAATTAAATTCATTGATCCTTTATTCATAATTCTCACATGGTAAATTCAGAAGGAATGCCTAAGTTGTTGTTGTTAGTTTGCTTTTTCAACACAAACTTTCTCTAAGGTTTGAGCAAGCAATAATGGTTTTGGCTTTATTTGATATAATAACATCAGTTTAGGATCTGCCTATGGCTGTTGGATCCAAGTTAAGTCAGAAGACTGCTGAGGAACACCTCATCCTGGGAATCCTCCAGCATCTCCTATAATTGGACTTAGTTTAGCATGCCAAGTCTATAACTAAAGAGGACAAAAAGTAAAGGAAAATTCTCTTTTTTAGTAGAAACTTTATATGAAAAATGGCAATGGTAAAAGCCACATGTGTGTTCAGTCTGGGACAGAATAAACCCTAAAAGCTTAGCTCTCATCTGCTTCATTTTGCTATTCTAGCACATTCTTTTATAAATTACCTTACAGGAAGGGCTGGGGTGTGGTAGTACCCTTAAACTTGGAGGATACTAATTTTTCCACGTGTGTATGAGTCACACAAGCGAATGATACTATCAGATCAATCTGTTGTTTTAGGATGATTTTGTGGGTTATTAAGTTCTGTTTGGGCACCTCAGTACAATGTATTTCAATGTAGAGTCAAGGTACTTACCAAATTAAACGAAAAGTTTATATGCTTATATCCCATATTGTCCAAAACAGCATAATGTAATGATGCTCTAAGACTTACAAAATAACTTAAATTTACAGTACTGTCAACATGATTCCACAAGGTCAAACACCTACCTCTGCTATCAAGTTTCAGTAACCGATACAGAAGTATTTTGGTAAAGTGCCCACACTGAGAGCAGTTAAAAAGCAGCTCCTATTTTCTACAGAAAAATGGTGACAGTGAGTAACTCATCACATTCTCTGAACACTACACTGTACTCACAAATTCTGGAGAGTGATACCCGGGACACACAAGCTTATTTCACATTAGTGAACAGACCTAAAATTTTTATAAAGTTCTGACTTTTGGCCAGAAGATAAAACGTTCCATATATACAAAATATATACAAACCCCACTGCTTAGCCTCTTAAATTGTGTAGTTCTAAAAATGGCTTTTTGACTTGTCTTTAAAGTTTAAAAAGGAAAATGTATGCAATACATTTGTATCTGTGCTTCTGAATTAAGAAACAGTAATAAATGAGGGGGGAAAAAAGCTTAGGAGAGTATTAATCTACTTAGATTATGTACATGACCTTTGGGTATTCATAAGAACCAGTTTAAACTGTCCCTCACCTTATGAGCAACTCTGTTTTCTAAGTTACCCAGGAAATGTATCTAACCATTTACAAAAACAAAAATTCAAACATGCACTTTACAAATCATGGTCTTATTTACCTACATATTCTTCCACAAGACAGGTATACATTAAAAAATATTGCTCAGAAACAAAAATATATATTATCTCTTTCCTTTACCATTTAGGCATATAAATAGTCTACTGAAGAGGATGCATCATTCAACAAACAAATGCAAAAACTGCTTTATATAAAGTGTGGTTCTCTGCTATTTAGCAATATAAAATACAAAATGGTTACAATATAATTAGCTAATAAGGAGCTAAATTCAAGAGATTTGCAAACCAATACAGCAGTGAACAGTCCCTTATACAAAAGTCCAGTAAGGAAGAGTCAATTTTGTAACAGGTTACATAAAAATCAGGGCCAATAAATGCATTCTAAATGCAAAAAAGAGCACTGCTTCATCAGTACATTCTTCATTCTTGTTTGGACTAGATACCAAACTTACTGTTCACTTTTCGGTTCTTCTTGTTTTCCATTAAGTTCTTGATCAACTCTGTTTAATGAAAAACAATAGAGATAATAAGACACTAGCAACTAAACAATTTTCTTTCTAAAAATTGTGACTACTTTTAGCATAGAATATTATTCTGTTAAAAACAAAGCTTTGCAAAGAAGCAGACATAGTAAAAAGGTTACCAAACATTTCCCCAACCAGGAAAGATAATTTTTAAAGACAAGAGGACACTGGCAAGAAATGTGCTTGTTGTTTCTTTGAAGATTACTGAATACTGTACATACAAATGCTCAGAGTTGTATTAAAAGTTAAATTGCAACAGGTATATTAAAATCTTAAACTGTAGCATGGCTGGGATCTAACTGATTAGAGAGTGGCAGGAAAGATAACTCCCTCAAAAATGATTTCGTTAACTGAAATACTAAAATGCCACTAATGCCACCAAATGATCCATGTTTTTAAATTCAGTGACAAAAATGCATATTTACAGAAACGATTCTCCAAAATTATTTATTAGTATACGTAGAATATAAATGCTTTTCACTTATTTTGATAGTAAGAAGCCATCAAATAACTGGAAATATCTAGATGTGGTTAAAAATCGAACTGAATTAGAATGGGTTGCATAGAGACCTATCAAAATTTAGGCAAGTGGGGATTAGAAGAATTATGTAATTACAACACAACTATAAACAACACTTTAAAGATAATGTACAACAGTCTATTACTCTTTGTACTAGTCTGAATTACTGATGGAGGGGAGTTTAAAACTTGGTACAATATACGAAGATACTCTTCACATTTGTTTCCATTTTTTGATCATCACCACCCATTACTAGGAGCACCTGAACATTAGTGAATGAAACTAAAAGTCTTGGTCTGTGTAAAGTCAAATTAATAACATTTAAAAACATTTTTTATGCTGGTATCAAAAATGTAAGAGGTATATAGTCTCAATAAGGCATGCAATATACATCCGGTCTTTTCAACATCTGAAATCTGTTAAATTAGTTCTTACAAACTATTTTCACAATTACTTGATTTTTCAACTACATTCAAACACTTTAACAGCTGCGCTCTCTCCGGCCACACTTGCACTGAGCCGTTTGAAAGAAACAGTTACAACATTTGACACTACCGTGTGTGCACACGGAGTTTTGAATCCTCCTTATGCCCAGTACTCATCATAGAGATGTCACCTTAAGTAAGCACCTCCACACACAGTCTCTGTTACATTTTTAAAAATATGCTCCTTTAAAAAAAAAAAAAAATGCTCCTTTATTTTTAAAACTTGAATGTTACCATCTTCAAGCTGACAAGGATTTATTTTTTTTAAGACTAACAAACTGTGCCAAAACTAACAAGTGTCTGAAAGATATACGTAGTGATTCTATTACAGTTAAACAAGACAAAAATAAAAAAAAAAAGAAAAAAGATAAAATAGTATTGGTAGGTATCAAACAATATATTAAATAAAAAGTATAGTTCCACTATTTTTCTGATACCTAAATTCCAGGTAACTAAATACTAAGAACTTTGTAAAAAGGCACAATACAGTGGATTTTATCAACAAAGGCAATTCATTTTGAAATCCATGAAGCAGTTGGCTTCATTATACAGCTACAGATTGTATTTTTAATTTCAGTTATCTGTCTGGCAAGTGTACACCAGTGCCTAGAAAGGGAAAAAAAAAATCAGCAATATCTAAAATTACCATCCACATCTCTACATCTCTCTCATTTTTATGAAAAATAAAATGTTCATTAAACTGTTAAGTGTCCTATAAAAATGTAAAGCTATGGTTCCATCACATGGTCAACTGAATTCATGCTCATCAACACAGTCAAAATGTGTTCAAAGAATTAGTTCCTTATAATTGTTTCCTTAGAATGGTCAAAATGGTAATAACTACATACAAATCTCTCACCTTAAGAAAGATTGTTCTAAAGCTGTTTTGCTAATTTGTCATTATTTAAAAAAAAAAAAAAATCCATTAACAAGTCAGCTCCAAATCCTACATTGTTCTAAACTGCTATTTAAAATGGTAACTCTTTTATACCTTGCCTTTCATCTTCTATGCCAAGATATTAATAGCTAATAGTTTGTTATGCTCAAAGCAGAAGTATTCAAAATTAAAGATGGAAAGCAGAGTGTTTAACTATTTAACGGTATATTACTGAATTTTAGGTATTTTATCATATGTAGAATTTGACTGGTTAGCAGGCTGTTTAAGCGTATAGGGAAATCAATGTTGGTTAGCCAAAGAATATGTGCATTGCAAATATACTCATAAACCCCAGGGAAATAAACTGTTTCTTTAGAAGAGTACATATATATTTATCAAAAGCACTAGTTAGACATTTAAGTAATATGGTGAAACAAATAAAAAAGTCTTAGAGGTGACTGGTTTTCCAAATAGTTTTCTTAGCAGTTTCTTTGGTTTTGCGATCAGTACATATAACATGAAGGAGTGAGGAGGGGCTATGACCTTTAATTCCTAATGGGCATTAATACATGATGTTAGAACAGGGTGAATCCAAGCTATATTCAGCATCAGGACTTCAGATTCACTCTATATTTGAATTCTGGGGTATGTTTATATTTACAAATGCTGTTATCTTTGTCCACAAGCTAACCAACCAATAAGGAAGAGTTAGTCTGTGCAATGCAAATGGACTAGTCTAGATGCAACCCAGTCAAGGTGTGCATATACCTTTTTTGTTTCTTTTTAAACTTTTCTTCTTCATACCTTGGTAGGGAAGAGTTATTTCAGTAAATATACATGTTATGAAGATAAACAAAACTTGAAAAAAAGGCACTAACAATAAACTCATATAAGTCTGCAGGCAAAACCAAAACTATTAACACACTATGTAGAAAGTCAAAATTGTTCTAAGAAATCTCGCTTTGACACATTCAACAGACTAAACCTCAGACCAGTAGACCAAAAAACTTTTTCGACATTACAGGAGAGCGATATTCAAGGATTTATGTTAACAGCCTTCTACCAAATCCTTTTAAAAAATTAGATGGGAGGTGAATTCAGTAAACAGAACATATTTCAGCCACTGAAATGAACCAAGGTTAGGCTGATATAAATAATATATTTCGCCAGTAATAGGATTATTCAGCGCATGGATGAATTTACTCAAATTTGGAGAACAGCATGTTCAAGTTTGGAGAATGTTCTTTAGTACTGACTGATCAGGAAACCACCTCTTAAGATTGTAAATAGTCTTTAAAAAGAAATAGTCTTTAAAAATAAAAATTAACTACAACCAGAAATAATCCTTCCTGCTTCCTTAGGTGATGGCCTGAAGAAAACAGTATGGGGAAGGTGCTGGAAAATGGCTTCTTTCCCTTTTCCTTAGTTACAAAAACAAGAGCAGTTACAAAATATTTATCATACAGGAAGTGAAAAATCCGGATGAGTACTGAAAAATATTTACCTCTTGCACATCAATATATAAAGATCCAATACAATTAAAGAAATAAAACAAAACATACTGTTTTATGCATTCTGGTATGCCAACATATTCCATGGGGACAAGTTCCGCTAGTTCTGCCAAATTAAAGACGTATCTAATTTTTTGGCTGAATTTTGAGCTATGGAAGAAAATAAAGATAATTACCTCAATATTCTGACCAACAGAACTGACAAGAAATTCACATAAGGAGCTGGTGTTTTTGTTTCTTTTTTTTTTTTTAAAGTCAATGACTCTCAGAAAATTACCTAATAAAGGGTCTTGTGACAGCTAGAAGTGTTCTGATAAACCATGAGGGATGTACAATGATTAGTGATTTTAGGTTTTTCCGTAACCTGGAGTTAAAAAAAAAAAGAAAAAGAAAAGGAAAGGAAACAAAAATTTTAAAGCTCTATAAATTCTAATGCTAGGAAAAAAGGTAAGGCATCATTAAGTATGTGCAACTTTACACACACACACACACACACACACACACACACACACTCCTCATCCAGAAGTTCATTTAGATGTGATATTCCTAAAGACAAGGAAATACACTCTTGAATTCTGATGGTCTTTTTTACTGCTACGAGATGAGCTTTACTGCATTTGGCTAAATTTATGTCCACAGTATAGCCTGTCGTTAAATGTCTCCTGGATATATTCACTTGTCTTTAGAATTCTGTCAACCAGGGGTAGAGGACAATACCGAATACGAAATTTCATTTTTCAGGATGAGAGGGGAACTGGTACTCATTTCATCAACACCATGAAAGGCACTATGCCACAAGAATAGGAAATGTAAATCAGATCTAACATATTCTTAGGGAGTCTAAAATTCTGAATAAAAATTACTGGCATTACCCTGAATGACTTTGACCAAAAAAATCCTGCTGTTTTATTATGCATATTCCACACTTAAGCAAAGTGACCATTAAGGATTTTTTTTTTTTTTTAATCGTAAGAACTAGCCCATGCCATGTTTAGGTATTTAGAGAAACCTATTAATGAATCTGAGTTCATTAAACTAGTTCAAGTTAGCTATAGCTTAAATCAAACCAACTGGAGATTTTAAGTTCCTTCCATTAGCACTGATGACTAACTCTGAGGAGAATACACTCCCTAGAGCTCATTCCAAAGTAAGATGATGGCTAAGCATCTTAAAAACCATAAAATATGCTAAGCACTATGAGTTAGGCAAAATTCAGAATGTACTAAAATAGGAAATGTATTAAGTTCTCCATTCTTTCCCAAAACACAAGTTACAGGGAAATGTTCAATGTGGTTCAAATAAGGAGAAAAAAAGGACTATTTTATAGTTTTGTTTTAAGGAATTATTCTTTATTAAACAGATCAAAACTAATTTCCTTCATGATATTCTAAAATACTGAACTGAGAAAACAGAAACGTGTTATAAAATTTACAAATATAATTTATAGTGCTCTTAAGTGACCACAGGAAATAAAATTGAATAAAGCTATTATAAAAATTATTCAGACTAGCTTTCAATGTGTATTTACAATACCTTCTATCAATTTGCTGATAGCATTTCCTGAGCCATCCCAGACTGGGCATTTTCCTTCGAGTTGTAGCACCATTTAAATAAACTATCATGTAGTTTTCTGCTACTAATAGCTCCAAAGTGCCAATAACATACCTATAAAGACAAATTAAGTTTAAGCCTTAAGTACTGCTTTGCAGAACCAAGAAAATTATCCAAATTATATAATGCTCTTCCTTCCCTTCAATGACAGCAAAACCAATTAAAATTTCAGAACTGTATTAGTTGGTATTATGAACATGTAACTCTAAGAGAGTTACCTTCTAGAAATACACGTTTAAAAGTCTATGGATGAACTGACATGATTTCTGGGACTTGTTTCTAAGTTATACAATGGAAGAGTATACATTTTGGGAATGAAGTATAAACCTTTTAACTGTGGAAGCGTTTGATTCATACACAAATACTCAATACACTTCTTTTACCTTCATGTAAGTTTGAAATTTTCCCAGTAAGTTTTTTTAAAACACCACTAACTTAAGAAATAGAATGACTCTGTGGAAGTAGAATTGAGTCGGTTCAGTTACATTTGGCTTTTTGGGAGTAAATGCATTTAGCCATATGATTTTGAGATAAAAATAATTTCTTTACATTTAATGTAAAATAAAGAAGTTAGAACAGATAATCTGAAATATCCATTCCAGTTTTAAACTGACAATTTTCCTGTTGAGTTGGAAAATGCATACTTTTATAATGCCAAAGAATAAGGACTTAAAGAACTGGAATGGGGATAATTATAATCTTCTCCCAGGCAAAGTTCACTTCCTTAAACTGGAGATCTAATTAGCCCAGAATTCTGTCCACATTTTTCTGTGAAGGTATACTTACTTAAAGAGATTGTCCATCAGGTATCTATAATTAGGCTGACCACTTTCGGGCATAAAACAGACAGCAAACACAACAATGGCATTTAATCCATCCCCGTAATATCCTGAAAATTAAGTCAAAGATAAAATCACCAGCATGATTTTACTTTTCCAGAGGAAATCTGTACAGCTGACAGATTATAGTGGTTCATGTTCCACAAATTTTTTGATCAAAAAACATGGTTTCGTTTTTAACCTTATAGAGCCTTATAGATCTTTAAATCCGCTCTTCTCAAAATGAGAATAAAATCTGAAGAGGAAATAGTGGGCATAAAAACCAGAAACCCATTTAAAGTAGCATAATCAGAAAGCCAGTATTACTTTAGTAAATAGACAAAAGAAGTGATATAATCCAAGCAGGCGTAATACGAAAACATCTGCAACACTCTTATGCAAGTTATGGTTAAAGTGGATGCTTCTGAAAAAATACTTTTACACTCAAATATGCCTAGCATTTTGTAGATTCTAGATTAATGAAAACTACAATTACATCTTGGACAATTTTAACTCAAGAAAAATGTTAAAATGTATATGTTTATTATAATCTCTAGTATCTAGTAACATTGTTTTAACTTTCATTTCCATTGTTTACAAACATGCACTGAAAAGGTTTAAACACTTCAAGTACATTAGCATCTATCTCAATCTCTTAGTCACAAAACACATTGTGATAATTCAATAGCATAAAATGGTCCTAATTATTTCCCCCTAATATAAATAAAGCGCTCTTTTTGAAAGATACTAGGTTTAAACCATGAGGCAGGTCTCACAACTTTTTTCCTATGAACTGGCTGAATTAATGCAAGACTGTGAACTTCCTGATCCAGATTATCCTGTTTTCTTCATCTGAATAGGATTAAATTAGGCGGAATAATGTAAATGCAAACATTCAAGTGATTTGCTTTCAGATGAATGAAGACTATAGAAATACAGACGGGAATGCATTTGGCAGAAAGTTAATTAAGTAGAAAGGACTCTACATTAAAAAAACAAAACAAAACAAAAAAAACCCCAATCTGTTTAACCTATGTGGTCCCCTTTCTTGCATTAGGATTTCGTGTAATAAGAAATGTTCTAGAGGGGCGCCCGGGTGGCTCAGTGGGTTAAAGCCTCTGCCTTCCGCTCAGGTCATGGTCCCAGGGTCCTGGGATCGAGCCCTGCATTGGGCTCTCTGCTCAGCAAGGAGCCTGCTTCCTCCTCTCTCTCTGTCTGCTTCTCTGTCTACTTGTGATCTCTGTCGGTCAAATAAATAAATAAAATCTTAAAAAAAAAAAAAGAAAGAAAGAAAGAAAGAAAGAAATGTTCTAGAGAGTGACTTGCATTTTGACTACCATTAACGTTCTGACGCTATTTACAGTGTCTAGGCAAACTTCTATACATGGCACAGTCAGGATGGTTAGAAGTTATAATCATACTCCCATAGCTTTTCCTATCTGACTTGTAATTTAAGAAACGAAGCCTTGTATTTTTGGATATCCTACAAATATGCAAATCTGGTGCTCCATAAAAATGTGGAATGGACTAGTTCTATACTATATGGTAAAACTAAATGATTTATTCAGGGTTTTATTGTTTGATTTTTTTTTTTTTGAAGACTTTATTTATTTATTTGCCAGAGAGAGAAAGAGAGCACAAGCAGGGGGAGCAGTAGGCTCCCCACTGAGCAGGGAGCCCAATGTGGGGCAAGATCCCAGGACACCTGGATCATAACCTGAGCCAAAGGCAGAAGGCAGACACTTAACCAAATGAATCACCCAGGCATCCCTATTCAGGGTTTTAATGTAAAATAAGAGTCATAGTTTAAAATGCCAGGTTTTACTTATATCCACAAAAAGACAAGTACAAGAATGTTCAAAGCAGTTTTAATCATAATGGCCCAAATAGGAAACAACTCATAAGTCCATCAAAAGAAAAATGAATAAGCCAATTGTGGTTTATCCATACAATGAACTACTACTTAGTAATGAAAAGGAATGAACAACAGACACAAGCAACAACATGGATAAATGTCAAAAACATGCTGAGCAAAAAGAAGTCAACAAAAGAGGGTACACTATATGATTCCAGTTAAACAAAATTCTAGAACAGGCAAAAGTAATCATGGGGGCGGATATTAGAATAGTGGTTACTGGAGGGGGATATTCATTGGGAAGGAGTCTGAGAGAATTTTGGGGGGCAATGAAGATGTTTTACATGTCTAGCTGTAGGTGATATGGTTATATGGGCACCTGTCAAAACTCACTGAATCCTACCTTTCAGATTCGAAGTGAAAAAGTCAGAAAGAAGAAAAACAAATACTGTATGGTATCCCTTATACGCAGAATCTAAAAATGCCAAACTTAGAAACAGAGACTAAAATGGTGTTTACCAGGGTCTAGGGGGAAAGAAGATATGTTGGTCAAGGGTACAAACTTACAGTTATATGATGAATAAGTTGTAGGGATCTAATGCGCAGCGTAACGACTCTACACAGTAATACTGTATTGTGTAAAGTTGCTAAGAGAATAGATCCTAAATGTTCTCACCACAAAAAAGAAATGGTAATTATTATGCAGTATGTATTGTATCAGATCAACACGTTTTAACCTTAAAGTTAACAATATGTCAATTACATGTCATGAAGCTGGGGGAAAAACTGCAAATGCTACAAAAAAGGATTATACCATTTCAATATATATAAATTATAAATGCATAAAAAAGGAGAGAAAGTCTCAGTTTGGGGGTTGTCTAGAGGTCAGGTGGAAAACAGTTTTCACTGTATATCCTTATACCTTCTGAATATACTGTGTGCATGTACTAATGATTTTTAAATTTAGTTTTATCCTTTTACTTCAAACCTGTTGTTTCTAAAATGACATGATAAATGTTCACTATATATACATTTTTTTACTCAAGATAGAGTTTCTTTAGGCATTTACATTTTTGATATTGCACTAAAAAATATGCTCTTTGACAGCTCTTACCTCCATGGCTGATAACTTTCTTATAGGGTTCAATTGCCTTCATATCAACCCTGTGGTCCTGTTCTCCAATTCGGAACATACGCCAGCGTCGTCCATCTTCTTTTTCCTCTGCTGTTGTGTACTCAGTAATTGAGCCTTTCCTAATAACTTCAGTAGTTTTGGGTTTTGGAAGATCATCTGTCAAAATAAAAGGTTTTTGAATCACAAATTGTTATTTGTACAGTAAAAATCAAATTACATGTTAACCACTTTACTATCTAATTAGATTGTTCAGAGAATATTTCATTATACCTTCCGTGGAATTTTAAGTACTTCTTCTGTAACAGAGGAAAAGGCTTGTTATTGATAATGAAGCCATTTTATGTTTTTGGAAATAACTTTTTTTGTATTGGCTAATTCAGAAAGCAATTCACAGCGCAATGTATGTGCATAAGTTCAAAAAAGATAATTCATATGGCCATCAGAATCTTAGTACATTGGCCTTACAATGCTGTTCAGATTTTATTTACAACACTGTTCTTGGTAGTTACCACTATGGGTTATTTAAAGTAACTAAGAGCAAATTGGTTTTTTGTTCTTGAGCACATAAATTATTCCCCAAACACTGTAATACCAGATAGAAAGTGGTTAACCAGTCGATGATTATTTCTCATTTGATCAGGTTTATTGAGCAGAAATTTACTGATAATATTCTGATGTGTACATGCAAACGTCTATTTTAAATTGACATTAGCCAAAGCAGAAGCACCAATGATTAGGTGTAATTTATAGTTCAAGACTGCACTTTAGCAGATTTTAAATGCAGTAATGATTTTCGAAATTTTAGTATTGTAGTCCTTACCAAAAGATGGGGGAAGGGAAACCTACGGCATGTTAGTTGTTTGTTTCCAAGATAAAGCTGTTAACGGAAAATATCCTTCCAGGAAATGACTACAGCAGCATTAAAGAAAGAAGAGACAAAACACATAGGCAGAAAACTATTTCAGTATCTTTTTAAAATATTATTACTGGACTGCTCATTGAACCAGTAAAATAGGAAAGAGAAAAGGAACAAAGATACAGTATATCAAGGATCTTACTCTTTACTGCAGATAAGACACATAGGGCTAAAACACTGCTTTCAAGTAAAAATCATTGGATATACCAACAACTATATAAAGATACTATACACAGAAATTATCTAATTAAAGAAAACATGCAAAGCAAAACAGATGCCAATTCCTTTGAATTCTAAATAACTAATAATAAGGAATATAAAGTTTGGGGACTAAGAGTACACATTAATTCAAGATGGTTGTTCACATAGTGCAGTACTATCAGGCAAACCTAATTAAAAAATCACCCTAAAAAAACTCCTTTCAAAGCTCCCTCTCTGCAAACCCTAACTACTTTTAGCATATTTCCTAAGTTACATGTCTCTTCAAAGCTTTTTTTCTTAGCTGATTGACTAAATAAAGAACATGCCATAACAATCAAGCAATATTTTGGGAGCAGCATGAAAAAACATAACTTCACAATACTGGGCAATTAAGATAGAAAATAAAGCCACCCATGTAATCTACTAAAAACAGTTTTGAAAGCCATGAGAATATTCAGTGCCAGCAGAATTTCCCATCTTAGTAACAAAATATAGCAGGAACTTTAAAAAAAGAGTAACTTCATATGTCAACAAAATCCCTTAATCATTGATTTTAGGTTCAAGATCAAGTTTTAAGTTTTTCAATTATCCTAATATGAGACTACTATTCACAAAACACATACGTATAGAGAGACAAACATTCATTAATAAAGATCAAACACTGAAACATTTACCTTCCCACTCAAATTCATTACTGTTTTCTGATGGCGTGTCTAAGCCATCTAAGTCAATCTCCCCACTTTCATCCAAATCATCTGACAGCACAGAGCCATCGCTAGGATCCAGGGTCAGGCTAATATCTGGAGCCATGAGTTTCTTTCTTACTTTATTTCCATTAACTTCTAGCGAGCATGGAATGGGTTTAAAAAAAAAAAAAAGTGAAAAACAGATTAGAAGGAATGTTTACTTGCTCAAGTTGAATATTTTAAAAATATTTATTTTTTTAAGGCATCTGGATGGCTCAGTCGGTTAAGCAGTTGCCTTTGGCTCAGGTAATGATCTCAGGGTCCTGGGATCCAGCGGTGAATCAGGCTCCCTGCTCAGTGAGCAGTCTGCTTCTCCCCCATTCTCGTCCCTCTCCCTGCTCATGAGCTCTCTCCTTTTTCACACTCTTTGCCTCTCTCTCAAGTAAATAAATAAAAATCTTAAAAATATATTTATTTTTTTGAGAGAGTGAGAGTGTGAGCATGTGAGCAGGGGGAGGGGCAGAGAGAAAGGGAGAATCTTAGGCAGCCCCCCTCTACCCTGTACAAAGCCCAACCCGTGGTTTGATCTCATGACCTGGGCCAAAATCAAGAGTAGGATGCTTAACTGACTGAGCCACCCAGGTGCTCTGAATAAGAGAAAAATTCTAATCACTTCATTCTTGAGAAAAATAACATGAATCAAACATAATCCCAAAGCATTAATTTACAAACCTTAGATTTTGATCGTTATTGCTTCTACATCATAGAAAGACAACACATTCCAGCAAGTATATACCTTTTTAAGTAATAGAGGCAAACATTATAGTCAGCTTACCACCAAAAATGATCTCCTCTCAACCTTTTACTGTAGAAATTTCCCAAGCCCAAGGGTATGTTTTTGTAATGTTAAATTTCCAAAGCATTCAAAAAATGCTTTCTTAAACATTCACTTACTCTTTGGCTCCATATAATAGAATAAAAAGTTAGTATACTTTTTTCCCTTGACAAAGAATGTGTTAAAAAAAATAGCACAAAGTCTACCGTTTCATTGAAACTCAAGTGCCAAGTTCTTACCAGGCTGGCTCTCTGGTCCACTTACAGCTAATACATCTGCTTCCATACTATCATCCTCTGGTAAAGGTCTAGAAAATACAGACAAAATTTTTAATTCACAAATTAAAAGAACTTTTTTGTAGTTCAAAGAGATATTAAAAATATCTCATAGAACCAATTATGTGGAAAACTGAATAAAGTGGTTTCTTAAGCTTCAGTAATTTACAAACGACTTTTAAAGACAAAATTTTCAGACTGTCAGATGATTTACATATTTATGTAAGTAACACATAAAAGCAGATATAACTTCCTTATGTAACTGCTCTTAAATACAACTACAAAACAAACCTAAAAATTACAAACAACCTAAAAAAAATATAACTCAAATGCATAAGCTTAACGTGAAATACAATACAATGTGTGGTGAAGGTAAACGGTCCCTCACGTGAGAGGACGGCAACGATGGCTACAATTCTTTTGAGCTCAGCATTTCCGTATTATTCCTATTATCACCATGTGCTATGTAGTGACTTGGTACTTCCACCAGCTGTCCATATTCCCACTGTTAAGGGACCTTCCTATGCTCTGAGATGGTCTTCTGACCAAGATGGTATGAAAGCACAATTTTAATATGGTCTGCCTTTGCCCTTTTTCTCTTAACGGTACCCATACAAAAACAACTACAAATGCAAACGTGTCAAAGTAGCTGGCCAGATAATCTAAAAAACCCTTATTTAGTAAGCTTTCTTTTAAAATAGAAGCATAAAATTTAACAATTCTTACAGACATCTAAAGACTCCCTTCTCCCAGGAACCCCTCAGACTCATTTAAGAAATACCACATTTAAGCATTTTTTATAAGAGCAAACATTTTACATTTAAATGTTGAAAACAAAAATAAAGATTATGGGAAGACCACATATATATCTGGTGGACAATAAAATATTGGAAAATTCGTCTAACTGCTGGAAAGGAACTTCCATTTTCTAGTATCAAATGAACACCTTTTGACACTGGATTTCTGTAAGAAGCTCAAGAGTCACTTAATAAGTGACATCTTAGTAAAGACATTTTGAAGTTTTGTTTTAAATCTGTTTTCATTTGAAAGCATTGCTCACATTGGAAAATCTTCATCTTGCCATTCTTCTTTAAGTTCCACACCTTCCATCCTCAGCTTAGATTCAATATCAACTACAAACTCCTGATAATCCGGAGAGCCAATGCCCTGGGAAAAGAGGAAAATTTGTGACAACATATTTTCCATGTTCCTTTTTATCTGCTAAAAAGGTGCAATAATCTTATACCTTAGTTCATTCACATTTCCACCCTGGTCATGGAATCAATTTACTGGGTTGCAACTACCATTAAAAAAAAAAAAAAGAATTAGAATGAAAACCAGGGTATATATATTCTAGTAAAGTAAGTACTATTTGTAGTAAGGGTATTGCGTAGTGAAAATATTTGCTTTCAGTTATATATATGAATGTGTGTCCCAGGTTGTGATTTAAATTTTACTAAGTTTTGTGAATTACGTAGAAAGAATCTGAGGTGTGTGTGTGGGGGGGGGGGGTGAGGCACAAGGAATAAAAGTAAATATATTCTCTACTCTGGACCCATAATTAAATTTTCTGTCCTCTGGATAGAAGCTGATCCTAGAAATTGAACACTAGCAAATTGCATTTCCATTCATGATTCAGTAAAGCCAAATGGTATGTGTGCTGCATCTTTTAAAAACTGACGTATAATTAATATTTTTTAAAAGATTTTATTTATTTATTTGAGATAGAGAGAGTGAGCATGAGAGGGGAGAAGGTCAGAGGTAGAAGCAGACTCCCTACCAAGCAGAGAGCCCGATGTGGATGGAACTGGATCCTGGGACTCCAGGATCATGACCTGAGCCGAAGGCAGTTGCTTAACCAACTGAGCCACCCAGGTGCCCTATAATTAACATTTTAAAAAATATTATTTATTTATTTGACACAGAGAGAGAGTGAGCACAAGCAGGGGAAAAGGCAGAGAGAGAGAGGGAGAAGCAGGCTTCCTATTGAGCAGGGAGCCTGATGTGGGGCTTGATCACAGGACCCTGGGATCATGACCTGAGCCAAAGACAGAGGCTTAACCCACTGAGCCACCCAGGTGCCCCTATAATTAACACTTTTAAACTGAAGTATAGTTAATATGTGCACTGTTTTCTATACTTCCATTTCTGTAGTTTCAATTCCATCATTCCAGAGTCACTGAAAAAAGGCTACTCAGTAACTATCCAGTAAATGAATGCTACATTTTGATTTGCTTTGTATCTACACTAAACTTTTCCCATGTAGTTCAGCATAAGTTTTCAGACACTGGACTTAATGACTATTTCTGTTCATGCAATTACACATGCTCACCTAGGCCATTCAGTTTTAGTTTCAGTCTGTCCAAGGAGGGGTGTTGGTCCCGACATTCTCACTTTACAAAGTGAAGAATGCAGATATTGGTTTGGTTGATGGAATAAGACCTGGAAGTTTAAGTATATCATTTAAGAAGTCATAAAAATCAGCGGATTAATGTCACAAAAACTGTGACAACTTCAGGGCACAAGAGGTACAAATGAGCTAATATTTAGTTCAGTTGCATTAGAGCAAGTCAATAGATGACTGAAGTTGGTTTTTTTTGTTTTCTTTTGTTTGTTTTTAAGCAGTAGAACATGCGTTTCTTAAGAGATAAAAAGTAACACTACAAGTATTAAAAACAAAGCAAGAAGTGATTGGTCCCAGTGGAAGAAGAAAGTGAGATGGGGAGAATGACTGATACTTTTCATAGTGAATCCTAACCTATCTGACTTTTAAAACCATGTATATATAACTTTAAAAATGCTTTTCAAATAAAACAAATGGTGCCAGCCATTCACTTCAATTAGTTTTGTAAAACAAAAACATGATGCCACCACACACTGGAGTATTACTCAGCCATAAAAAAGAATGAAATCTTGCCATTTGCAACAACATGGATTGATCTAGAGGCTATAATGCTAAGTGAAAAAAATCAGAGAAAGACAAATACCATATGATTTCACACATATGTGGAATTTAAGAAACAAAACATGAACAAAATAGAAAGATAAAAAACAGACTTAAATACATAGAACAAACTGGTGGGGAGGCGGGTAGGAAATGAATGGAAGAGTGAAGAAGGTTAAGAGTACACTTATCATGAGCACTGAGTAACACACAGAATTGCTGAATCATTACACAGTACACCTGAAACTAATACAACACTGTTAATTATATTGGAATAAACAAATTAAAAAATAAAACAAAGATGTGGTCATGATTTACAGTTGCTTTATCTGCTGCCATTACAACGCTCAAAAGATGTACAAAGCTGTACAGAAAAAGCATTATGCTTAGAACAACAACAAAATTACACTGATAATTTTCTAAAGTGTTAGATTTTTACATAGTAAACTAACTTTATATCTCTGCCAAGACTGGGAGACTCTCTTCTCAGTTTGAATTCTTACTTATACTCAAGGAACGGTTTCACACATTCTCAAAAGGTTTAAATTTTCGAGGACCCACTTTCAAGGGCAGAAAAAATGGCCAATGCTCTATTCCTCACCAATATATTTGCTTGGAAAACTCAGTATTTATATATGTGAGTAAGTCATTTTTAATTCTCTGGGAAAACACTGAGCCGGGCAATGTTGAGAAATTACTGGAAAACACACCTAAATTACAGTGATCTTAACTTAATTTACCACATTCTCTGTTTCTAATACACAGTCTACACCTCAACACAGTCTTCACTGATCATTGATTGTTCTCTGATGGCAACTTCTGTAGAGAAGAAAATAAACAAAAAAGAGATACCTATCTTACCAATCTCTTATATTTTGGACACAGAACTAGTATAAAGACCCCCAAATTGTGGCCAACAAACCCAAATACTTCATGCTTATTCCCTTAGAAATTAATGCTCCTGTGAGACTGAAACACTCTATTACTAAAGGTTGAAAACTGTCTCTTCCAAATTTTTAATTCACAGTACTTCTCAATTTTTTTCTTAAGTCTTTTATAATCACTCTAAAGTAAACTAATGTACTTCCTAAATTCAATAATCAGAAAAAGTTTATGTTATTTTGTCTCGCCTTTTTGCAGGTGTTGGAAAAATATCAGATGTTCTTGTTGTCTGTTTAAAATACCCCAGGTGGGGGCACCTGGGTGGCTCAGTGGGTTAAGCCTCTGCCTTCAGCTCAAGTCACGATCTCTGGGGTCCTGGGATCGAGCCCTGCGTCCGGCTCTCTGCTCAGCGGGGAGCCTGCTCCCCACCCCCCGCCTGCCTCTCTATGTACTTGTGATCTCTGTTAAATAAATAAATAAAATCTTTTAAAAAATAAATAAAAAAAAAATACCCCAGGTGCCTGGGGTGGCTCAGTGGGTTAAAGCCTCTGCCTTCCGCTCAGGTCATGATCCCAGGGTCCTGAAATTGAGCCCCACATCGGGCTCTCTGCTCAGCAGGGAGCCTGCTTCCTCCTCTCTCCCTGCCTGCCTCTCTGCCTATTTGTGATCTCTGTCTCTGTCAAATAAATAAATAAAATATTTTTAAAAAAATAAAAAATAAAAAAAATAAAATACCCCCCATACTCAGAAAAATATTCAGTATCTCAAAATTAAAGGCAGAGATTGAAAGTTGCTATCACTATATTCCCAACGCCTTGCATGGTGTCTGGCACATAAGCCTGTAAATGTTAGTTATCTGAATATTGTAAGGTAGGGCACTGGATAGCAGGCTTTGTTTTGCTCTACCCCTTAGGCTTATTTTTCTTATTCAACAGGCTTCCTGTTGTTTTACCCTCAAAAAGTGTAATGAAAATATTTAGGGCAATCCACACATATGCAATTATCAATTTCTGTTGGTAAAATCATTCGTTATTTGTAAGACAAAGTACGTAACTTGTGAAATTCTGTAAGACAAACCATGTCCTTTAGTTCCTCCACCATTTGAATAAGTCTATCACTTGAAAACTCCTCTAAACATAGAAAGCCCTAGTCCTTCAGGTCTGTCAGCTGATTTATTAAACTTTTATTTCAAAATCGTATTGAAGCATGTGATTTTAATACACAAAGCACATGGACATGGATATTTAGTTCAGGGATAATTATTTAAGCTAGTTAAACAGAACCTAGGAGAGATACAGATAGATTCACTCTTAACCATCTCAGCACAGACGGTAGGGCAAAAAGTACTCTAGGTAGACAAAAAGTTCAAACAGTTGAGAGAGTATTGTTCTTGGAAGGGCTTAATCATCAGCAGCTGTAAGAACAGGAAGCAAACAAGAAAGGAGCAATATAAGCACAACCACTGAGAAGGAAATCAGGACAATGCTGACTCACAATGAACTGTGGTTGTTTCCCATTTTTTGTTCATAAATTTGGTCAATTAGAATGGGGAAATAACACTTTAAGATGCCATTTGTTAAAATCACCTAATGCAACAGGAATTACTTGATTTCTCAACATACTTGTGGTTCTGAGACCACATGATTATTTACACCAATTCAGATAAATTCAGAACACTTGCTGATCCCTCAGTGAGGTTAATAATCAAGAAAAATGGAGTACCTACTGACACAACTTGGGTCAGTAGGAAAATGTGGTCGTAAATTCAACCAAGATGAAGAGGATTTCCCTATGCAACTCAGCAATAGAAGCAAAAATTAAATATTAAAATCATATTTACAACTGTCTAAATTATAAATTGTAATCTTACATGCAACTTTACTATTATGTAGTTTAATAGTGCTGCTGGAATAGGTGCTGATAACCACCATCTATGCTGAAATCACTTACTATTGGCAGAAGGAAATGCCCGGGCAAGTCTTTCACTTCTCCATTTAAACAAAAGGGCTTCATTGTAAATATTTATGTTCGCTTTTCTCTATGAGGCTGGCAACACTGGAAGTGCTATAGGAAAATACTTTAGGCCAGTCTATATGTTTACAAAGATCACCAAAACACGTCCAGAAAAATCTTAAATACTTGTCACTGTTTCCTTGAGAGCAGGGTCATGTGGGTTTTTAAGAATGAAATGACATGGGGCGCCTGGGTGGCTCAGTGGGTTAAAGCCTCTGTCTTCGGCTCAGGTCATGATCTCAGGGTCCTGGGATAGGGCTCTCTGCCAACAGGGAGCCTGCTTCCTCCTCTCTCTCTCTCTCTGCCTGCCTCTCTGCCTGCTTGTGATCTCTGTCTGCCAAATAAATAAATAAAAATCTTTAAAAAAAGAATGCAATGACACAATGTGATGTCACCTTACGTCTGTTAGAATGACCATTCTTGAATAGACAAGGAAGAGCAAATGTAGGCAGGGGTGTGGAGAAAAAGGAGCCCCTGTGAACTGTTGACAAGAATTTAAATTGGTAAAGCCACTACGGAAAACAGTATGGAGGTTCCTCAAAAAGTTAAAAACAGAAATACCATATGATCCAGCAATTCCACTTCTGGGTATTTATCTAAAGGAAAAGAAATTACTATCTCAAAAAGATACATGTGCAGCCCCATATTCACTGCAGCATTATTTACAATAGCCAAGATGGGTCTCACTTATAAATGGAATCTTAAAACACACACACACGCACACACCAAGTTCAAAGATGCAGAAAACAGACTGGTGGTTGCCAGAGGGAATGGGGTTGGATGAATGGGTGAAGGGGGTCAAAAGGGACAAACTACCAGTTATAAAATAAATTCTAAGTATGTAATGTACAGCACGGTGATCACAGCTAATACTGTGTTACATATCTGAAAGGTGCTAAAAAAAATAATTCTTAAAAATTTTCATCACAAAAAAATTTTAATGTGTGCCAATGAATGTTAAATACATTCATTGTGGTGATCATTTCCCAATATATAAAAATATCGAATCATTGTTTTATGTACACCTGAAACTAATATAATTTTATATGCCAGTTGTACCTCAATTTAAAAAAAGAACAAAATGAGATACTCTACCTGAAACGTTAACACAAAAAATTCGAGAAAAATTACAATGCTGCTGACTTTTCTCAAAATTGTGAAAATAAAGCAAAGGATAATTATGCCACCTACAAACAGTACTTTTATGATCACTATGCAGAACATACTGGAGAAGCTCTAAGACCTTTAAGAAGATTAAAGTCTAATATTGATCTCTGACACTTTATTGTAGTTATACATATTTGTTGTAGTATAAAATTGTAATTGTAGAATACTACTATCATCATATTGTACTAGTATTCTGCTTTATACAATGTAAGCTTAAGATAATTTTCAGCCACGGTTAATATTTCAGAACTGGCTATATATACTTCCTTTTTTAGATGCCCTCCTCCATCGCTGCTCCTACAGGCTTTGCTGCAGAGGCCATGAAGGGAACCACTTTCCTTTTCACATTTACTAACCACTTGCACATTCATCATCCCTATATGTTCTAATCAACAAAACATCAAAAACAATGTTTTTCCAACAAAAACACTGGTGTTATTATCCCGGTTTTACATTATGAGGCAAATGACTGTTTCTAATACAGCACACTGTTTCCAGTTCACTGGGAACATTATACAGAGTAAGCCTGTAATGCCAGATTTGGTTACATTTAACTTCAAAGGTCCTCTAACACTTAAAGATCACAAAGGCACTGACTTATGATCTAGTTCAAGATTCGTGTTTGCAGAAGTGGACCGGTCATACTTCCTGTATAAGCCCAACAATGTTAGGCTGCGATAGAAAGAGATTATGATAGAAAGAGATTATGAAGAACGAGAATAGTTTAGAAGAAATGTAAAATGACAAGAACTAAGCAAAAGAAGTGAGCGTTCATCAAGAAGATAGTATAGGAGGTAACTAAATTGGGTAATTTCAGTTATCAACGTTATCTTATTTACAAGTTGAGAAATTCTTATAAAATTTTAGAAAAAGAGTATGTTTCATTGAAAAAGTTAAGAAACTAGGCATTAAGAGAAATAGAGATCCTAATCAAAAAGGAGAGGTTGGAAAAAAAGCAACTCTAAAATGCAATCACACTTCATTCAATTAACTGTAAGGAAGGCACTAGGACTACCAGGATGAACAGGGCAAAAGCCGTGCTCTCAAAGGGCTCCCGCAACAGGCAGACAAGGGAAGTTTCAAAGCAACGTCGTAGACGCGAATAAAGTTAACAGGAGGTGATCTAGTACACCTGCATCTGCATCAGATACACCCAAAAAACCCAAACCATTAAGCAAAAAGTTATGTCTGAATCCACGCGGGAACTCGGCTTTTATACGTAGGAAAAGTCTACTAAAGCCTTCATTACAAATGTCGCTTCCGTGTCTATTCCCCGAGGGTACAGGGCACATCAAACGTCCGAGTTTCTTTGTTCTGTACCACAACTGACGCTGGTTTTACATTCGCGACCAAAGTGGCCGGTCACCGCACCCAGACCAGGGTGTGTGCAGCGGGGCCGAGACGGGGGTAAGTTCCATCCCGAGCACAACAGCACAAACGGAAAAGGGATGGCCGGGGGGCGGACAAGGATAGCAAAGGCAAACAGGAGCCGAGCCAAGGGCGGGGGCCTAAACTGGGCGGGGATCCGGGAAGCGCCTCGCGAGCAGGTTCCCGGGCGCCCCCTACGTCGGATAACCCTCTGAGCTTCCTCTCTCAGGCTGTCCGGTGGGCACTCAGCCCTCCGACGCCCACCCCAGGCCTGCTCTCAGCCCAGACCCGCCGTGCCCAGCCTTCCCCGGCCGCACTCACCCCGCAGGAAGCCTTGGCTCCCTCGTCTTCTTCGCCGCTCCAGGCCGGCGACGTGGGACTGACGGCCAGGGCGCAGGAGATAGCGCCGAGAGGAGCCCGCTCCCCTCGGACAGCAGCGGAGACCCGGGCCCAGTCCCCCGTCTACAGCTGCTGCGGCAGCAGCTGACCCGGATGCAGAGTGCGGCACCGACGGAAGTGACAGTATCCCGGCCTTCTTCAGGCGCGGCGGCCCGCGGAGATGGAGGCGTGGCTTCTCTGAGCCGCCTAGCCTCTGCCCCGCCCCCTTGACCGTCCCGGACTCGCGTCCGCGCACGCGCCTGGGGGCAACCCCGCATCCCACCTGGGTAACTTGGTACCTGGGTACCTCTCTACCTTGGTACTCGGCCTTTGAGACTCAGAGATATTTTTACATTATTAATGTTGGCTTTAGTGATCATTAAAACAATTTTATAGGATAAAATGGGTGAAGATATGGGAGGGGAAAATATCCGAAGCCTCATTTTGGAAAACTAAACCTCAGAAGAATCCTTAGAATTTTGGAAAATTCTCGAGGGTGAATACAACAGTGCTGCCCAGACTATATGTAGGGAGCTATCAGATTAATTTTTTGAATTACCAGTTAGTTGTGGTCCATGCTCTGGTAAGATAAGATAAAAATGTTAGAAACATTTTATCCTTAGAGTCAACAGCTATATATTACCTGTAAAGTTACCAAAAAGTTTTCCAAATGCTTACTCTCAACTTCCGTTCCTGCCTGGCCGTGGACTGGTAACAGAAGGACCAAGCTCTGTGTACTTGGAGTAACAATGCTGCTCCCCAGCTTTAAGGAACTAAGATTAGTTTGGAGAACATAATAATCCCTCTCGGAATTCTTAGGAATTCTTATCCACTAATCCCGACAAAGGCAGCAGTCAACTCTGCTCAATGCATTTGAGAATGGGGGGGAGGGTGCTTGACGGGGAACTGAAAGCTCAAGAATTTAAATCATTGACCGGAAATGCAGCTCCCGGGTTTACACCGTTTTGGCAACATTGTCTAATGTTGGCAGGGGGCGAAACTCTCTGTCTCCTCTATAAAAACAGGTAAAGATGATATCTGTTTCCTAGGATTTTTGTGAGATAAGGCGCTATCTACTAGAACTGTGCTTGACACATTGTAATCATGTATGTTTGATATTATTTTCCACCTGTTCTAGCAGTTTTGATAAATAGCTGGCAGAGAAAACAAAACGGATCGACTGATAAACAGAGCTTTAGCTAAGCAACTTCTTGGATCATGCATATGTAAGCGATTTCATCTTCACTTACAGAATTTTCATAGTTCCATATTTTGCTTGTTTCTGTCCTGCAATGAGGAGCATTCCTCAAAAGGTGGCAGCAAATAATTTGAAATCATATATAGTTGTCTTTTTTTTTTTTTCTTTTCTTGCGATCTTTGTTGTTTTTTTTTTTTTTTTCATCTCAGAAATTTTATTGTTTAGTAAGTTTGGTCAGTGTTTGCTTTGGTTATGAATAATCCACTCCAGATTTGTCTTTTTATCCCCATCTCATGAATTACCCATATTTATTGTTGAAACGTTTGAAACTATAGATGAGGCAAAAAAGATAGTAACTAATACGTTTATGTATATCCTTTCAGATTTTTGTATACATGTAACAATATAAATAACGCATATATTTTATAAAAATGAAATAATGTACCTAAAAGTTTATAATCTTTTTTTTTTTTTTCCATTTAAAAATATACTGTGGGGGTGCCTGGGTGGCTCAGTTAAACCTACCACTCTTGATCTCAACTCGGGTCTAATCTCAGGGTCATGAATTCAAGCACTGCCTTGGGCTCCATGCTGTGTGTGGAGCCTACTTAAAATATAATAAAATAAAAAATGAAAAAAATAAAAATATATCCTGAACTCCTTTTCAGGTCAGTCAAAATATATCTTGAACTCCTCAACACCATCATTTTTATTATGGATAATTTATGTATTAACAATTCCTTATTGAACATTTAGGTTGCTCCATTTTTTAATAGTTAAAAACCATACTTACAAACCAAAAAGTCAGAAACCTAAGGCTGATTTTTCAAACAACACACTAGTTATATTTTCAAATAATATGCTCCATATATTTTCTTTCAGCTTTTAGGTGAAATACCTGTAAGCAATGGATGCATTTGTTAGCCTGAAAAAAGTATAATAAAAAAAAATTAGGGTGCTTGGGTGACTCAATTGTTTAGGCAACTGCCTTTGGCTCAGATCATGATTTCAGAGTTTTGGGATCGAGTCCCACTTCGGACTCCCAGCTCCACAGGGAGTCTGCTTCTCCCTCTGACCTTCTCCCCTCTCATGCTCTCTTTCACTGTCTTGCTCTCATATAAATAAATAAAATCTTAAAAAAAAAATTTTTAAGTGCACCTGGGTGGCTCAGTTGGTTAAGCACCTGCCTTCGGCTCAGGTCATGATCCTGGAGTCCCAGGATCAAGTCCCACATCAGGCTCCCTGATCGGTGGGGAGTCTGCTTCTCCCTCTGACCTCTCCCCTTTCATGGTCTCTCTCAAATAAATTAATAAATTAATAAAATCTTAAAAAAATTTTTTTTTAAAAAAGATAATAAAAGTTTTCCCTGTGTTTACAGATTTTTTGGACAATCTTCAGTATATTTTTACAATCACTTGTTTTCTTCTGTGTGACTCCTTGAATTGGCATACATTCAGAATCCTAAAAGTTGGAAAATAATTCAGAAGAAAAAATGTGCCTTTAGAACATACCATCTATAAAGTGATACATTTGCTCAGAACCACCATCAACCTCTTCCTTGTGGTTTTGGGCTTTAGCATTATGTTTAAATAGTCCCTCCTCATCCTAAAATTAGACAAGTAGTTATAGTTGCTTAGATTTTATTTAAGATTTTTTTTAAGATTTTTTTAAATTTAATATTTTATTTATTTATTTGGTAGAGAGAGACATTGTGAGAGAGGGAACACAAGCAGGAGAGGGAGGGAGAGGCAGAAGCAGGCTTCCTGCTGAACAGGGAGCCCAGGACCCCAGGATCATGACTTGAGCCAAAGGCAGACGCTTAAAGACTGAGCCACGCAGGCGCCCCTATTGTTTCATTTTTTCAAAAACCAGTAACATTAAATTCAATCGGAATTTTGTCTATCTGCTTATGATATGAGGTAGGGAATCTGATTTTGCCAAACTGACAAACTAGTTTGCCTAACATCATTCACGGAATAATCCAGTAATTCCTAAACTTGACGAGGACTCAATCAAATGAAAGTTTACTTTCAAAGAGGTCATCTCAGGTGGCCGATGTTATTCAAGTATCCATTCACAAACATTCTGACAAACGTTTGTATTCCTTCACAAACCATCAGTGAACAAATTTGCAATGAACATATTATGAGTCAATGCTATTGGGCCCCAAGGGTACAGATAATAAAGACAGAGTGTCTGTTTGCAAGGGACTCTCGGACTAGGTCAGGAGAAGGGCAAAGGAACATGGTAAAACCCTTTGGTGGACTAAGGTGACATTTGAATTTCCCAAGTGCAGCTAAATAGAAGGGAGCTAAACAGCTGGCAGGGGAGCAGGGGGAAGTGGGGCCTGTCAAGGAAGACTTTCTGAAGGAGGTTATCTCTGGCTTAGTAATACAACGAAGATCTTCCAGCCAGAGGGAATGGCATATGCAAATGCACAGAGGCTTCTAGGAACTGCCCCCTCTTCTCCAATGACTGGAGCCCCCGCAGTGGGAGGATAAATGGGTGTGAATGGCCAGTATCAAAAATAAGCTGACCACACGAAAGGGGGAGGTATTTTTTTAACGCTAAGAATTTATTCAGAGCCAATATAATGAACAATATGGAAACGCAATCAATTATTTGTTTATAACTGCTTCAAAAGAAGAGATTGAAAGATGTCCCTCACAATAATGGCATTATTAGGACAAGTTCTGAGAGAACCACTTTGAAGGAGGCATTTGAATACATACTTTGGTATGTGTGTTAAAATCATGCACGTTACTTTGCATACTTCATACATCAAAACAAAAGCGCTCAGCCAAAACAGACTTAGAGAGTGCTGAGTCTACCTGCTTCTCACCCCCACTACAACGTTGGATCAGAGAGGTAGGGTGAGAGATGATGAAGAAGACATTTCAGACAACACTAGGAAAATGCTTGTGTAAATTCAAATTTTAGAAGGCAGAATGTACATTAAACAAAACTCTTGAATAATGCTGCACTCCCCACTGTATAATTTTATAGATAGATTGTTATTCTTGCTTATGAGCATATAAATTCAGTGTTGTTTGGCAGCTCGCTCATAATTTTTGAAAAAAATGTGAAGTATCCTTTTTACATGGACTGAAGATGTCTTTGCTGGTTGAGCTTGAGGGTAAAACTGGATACAATTATATATTCATTTAATTATTCATAACTCGAGTCTGAAATGCATGTATATATATTTTTCACTTATTCACTTTATAAAATTCGAAACTAAACCCAGCAGCAGTTTTATCTTTGGCTTGGTGACAAGTTTCTTTTCGACAATGAACCAGTAAAAGAAATTATTCCAGAGAGAATTTGTGCTTCATTTCAGAAAATCAAATTGGATTGCACACATATATTACACATCACTGTTGCAAGATACTTCCACATTTCACAGAGCACATAGAGGGAAACAGCAGCACACATTTTTAAGAAATATTTCCACATGCAGAATTAGATTATGGCCATTCAAGAGGAAAACTAGGCTAATTTGCCAGAGAATTTTTGTCCATGGGACTTTAAGTATTCGCCTCATTCAGGGAAATAGGTTATGGGTTGAAGTCACATGAGAGCAAGAGCTCAGATCTGGAGTGAGCCATGTTCGTTGAAGATGAGAGAGGATGTGCATTTTATTCAACATAAGTTAGAAGAGTCTAAACCTACCTTAGATTACTCATTAAAACTAATAATGTGAACAAATCTTAGAGTCCATATTCAAGTCTTCTGTGAAGCTGTTTCTGCAATGTCATAAAAGGAATAACAAATATGAGTTTTAAAGTATCTGAGGGTATATACTTTGTCATATAAAAAAACAAAATTTGGCCATATCATAGCAACAATAAATTGGAGATCATGGCTGACATTTTGAAAGAAGATGGCAGAGACCCATCTACACTGAATAGGGGTCATTACAAAAAACAAAACAAAACAAA